GGAATGTCACCATTTCAGGCGGTTTATGGGCGGCTACCGCCCACTTTGCTCCAGTACTCTCCCAGAACATCAAAACTGGAGGTTGTGGACTATGAATTGCGTGACCGGGATGAGCTGCTGCGTACCTTGAAAACTAGCCTCTTTCGTGCTCAAAATCGGATAAAGATTCAGGCCGATCACCATAGGCGGGATGTTTCTTTTGAGGTTGGTGACTTGGTTTTGGTGCGCCTTCAACCATATCACCAATTGTCATTACGCCTCCATCGCAACCAGAAATTGGGTGCCCGATACTTTGGGCCATTCACGGTTCTACAGAGGATAGGTGCAGTGGCTTACTGTTTGGACCTTCCCCAACATGCGAAGTTGCATCCGGTGTTCCATATCTCAGTCCTTAAACGCTACATAGGCGCGCCAGAAACACGGGTGGTGCCGTGGCCGCTCCTTTCGAATACCGCTGCTCCGATTTTAAGGCCAAACGCCGTACTGGGACGTCATACTATTTGGTGGAACCAACAGCAAGTGGATCAAGCCTTGGTTCAGTGGGATGGGCTACCTCAGGAGGACGCCACATGGGAGGATACTTCTCATCTATCACAGCAACTCCCTGCTGCGAACCTTGAGGACAAGGTTCTTTTGGACCAGGAGAGTATTGTTATGAAAGAGGCCAATGTGGAAAATGGAGATGCGGGAGATAAGGCCAACATGGAGCTGACAGAGGCTGCCAAGCTGGCATCCGAGGTGGAATACGTTATAACAACCCCGGGTGGGAGGTTGGAGGAAAGAGAGGATGCTCGTGGGAGGCGCGAGAAGAGACTATTGAGGAGGTTAGAGGATTTCGGAGTGGGGTGAGGAAAGGGCATGGGGTAATGTAATAAATAGGGAAGGAAGAGTGAGATAGGGTTATGTGATAATTGTGTGAAGTCGTATTCCTTCTTCTTCCTCCGATCATTGTTTTCTTCTTTCCTTCAGTGTAATGGACTATTAAGTCATAGCTAAATATATCTACCAGAGTACTTTCAATACTTCTATCTTTGGTTTGCTTAGTTGAATAGACCGACCATTGCAGGGCCTCATTTTATGCTCTCCACATGTGGGTCTTTATCTTGCTTGGGATATGGAATGCCTAATATTTTCCCACCAAACTGCATCCTCCTGCCCATGGGGGGCGCGAACGCGACTTAAAGCGGTAGATAGAAGATTGGAAATCCATGGATTCCAAGACCTCTCACCTTCAAACTGATCACTCGTCCCCCAGAGGATCTTAAGGATATTACTGTGGATTCATGGAAGAGTTTATTGTCAATGGATAGAGATTCAATCTTTAGCATGATTATAACCTACTAGGCATCAAGAAAATATCATGTATTTTTAATAATATAAAAATTATATTTTTACCTTTAAAGAAACGTTCTTTCATACATTGAAACCAATTTTGAGAGATACAATGACCAAACCGCCCTTTTCATAATTTAAATAGAAACTAATAATTTAAAAATATTTTCTAAAAACATTTTTTAACTTATTTTGATTTTTTTAAAGTTTTATATAGTGGAGCTCATGTATCAAACAATGAATATAAAAAGTGACAAAGAGAGTGGCAGAAAAAATAACGCTAACATTTCTGTATTTATAATGATAAAATATTAAAAGTAGAGAAAATTTTAATTTTAACCATTTTTTCCAACTCTATTATTTATTTCACTATACAAAATTTAATGTCACTATGAAAAATAACATGCAAGTTATATTTTTATAACATCCAGGTTATAAAAAGATAACCTACAGGTTACGAAAAATAATGAGCAGATTATGAAAAATAACCTGAGGTTATTAAAAAATAACTTACAAATTATTAGTAATATAAGATAAATTTACAACAGTACATAAATAAAATAGTGTTACTTTAATGATGATATTTTTATTCTCTCTTAAAAGTATACCTTGTTAATAACCTTATAATATGCATGGTTAAAAACAAGTTAAAAAAAGCGTGGATAAAAGAAACATTTACGTTAGAGCTATTTATATGTTCATTATGCACGAGATGAAAAAAAAAAGTCCATAAAATGATATTTGCATGACTCGTAATGACCTAACCCTTTGTTAAGTATTATTTAAAATCAGTTATACAAATTGATAACTGCTCACATACAAAAGTTTATCCGAGTGATATTATCGCAATAATTATAAAGTAGTAAATTATTCATATTATCAAATTATAAACATATCTTAAATTAATTGGGGAATTCAAAAGTGGGCATTTTATTTAAATAGAGAGTTCGAAAGTGATCATTTTGTGCAATTATGATCTGAAATTTGTTGTCGCATTTTAAGGACTCAAGACCTGAGTTTCCCCATATCTGAAAATGGGCTTTTGATTAGGTCCACTCAGACAAATCAATCTAAATCTATTTGGTCACGCTTTGTCAAAATACCGATTTCAGTTGGGCATTTGAAACATAAACAACCCTGTTCGAATCCGTTGATTCGTTATAAAACCCTTTCGATCACAAAAAAAAAAAAAAGAAAGAAAAAAGAAAAAGTAAGTGTTGATTGTTAAAGATGGCCAACGCCTCGACCATGAACAAGTAAACAGGAATACGTGCGCAAAGATACAAAAAACACTTGAAAACGTCGCGCTGTAGAATGTTGGGCTTTTTCTTTTTTCTTTATTTGTTACTTTTTTTTTAGTATTTCTTTATTTGTTGCTTATTATTATTATTATTATTATTAATTTTAATGGAAGGTGTGCCCGTTTTGTTGGATTTTCATTCCCATCAGAAAGCTACAGTTGTGAGTACTTTAATAGTTTCATGTTACTCGTGCTTATTTAATTAACAAGAAAAACGGTCAACATTATTCCGATATAATAGATTCACGTTACTTGTGTTTTTTTTTATATGTTCAAGAAAATACAGAAAAATTTTGTATTGGAGGAATACTTATTGAAAAAAATAACAGAATTAAAATTAAGAACAACCGGAGTGTATACGCACCAAGTACAAAACCGTGCGTGAGCAGTTAGAAGACTACTCTTTCTTGATCTTATTTGTTTAATACAAGTGACCCAATTGATTGGGCTGTCTACTTTGACTTTTTAAGTTTACATTATGGTCTTGTTCATTTTGTGAATTTGAGTTTTTAATTTAAATTAAGATGTGATATTTTCTAAGAGCTTTTCACTATAGTAAAAAAGTTAAATGTGACATTTTCTGAGAGTTTTTAACTGTAAAAATTTAGAACTGAAAATTTAAATCAGTAAAATGAACGAGGCCTATATTTCCCTTTCGCGGCTGATATAAGTGTCACATTACCTCTTATTCTTTCTTATGTCATTACCTGCAACTCAATGATATTAACAAATCGTTTGGACTAAAATGAAGAAAAAATATTAATTCCAATTGACAAAGATTTCTGTTTTGTTCTCTCGCGCCCTTTGACTAGCTCTAAAGAATTTAAAGCCCCTCTTATGTGATTTTCAAAACTTATCTCATAGGTATTCATGTGGTAGTTGGTGCAAATGTGCAAATACAATTCCAATAGTACAAAAATTAATGCTTGAAGGGAAAAGCATCCAAATATTAATTTGTTCAAAATTCAACTTTGGTGACCCCTTCTAAGTTCTAACATTCAAAACAGTTTTGAGGCTTTACACACAAGACCTTCATGCGCCTTGTGCCCCAACTCTTTGCCTATATATATATATATAATTTAAGTTTTACAAAGGCTGCTCATTATGCGCAAGTATTCGTAGCCGACACGAGTCTCTATTTTCTCACATGACTTCAAAGCAGTAAAAGATTTGAAACTTGAATTTTCTGTACAACTTTTTGAGATCAAATAATGTCACGCAGCCTTTGTTGTCTTGGCCGATAAATATTGGGAATCATGGATATGACGAGATATTAGAAAGAACCAAAAAGGCTAAAGTAATATTGTGATCCCTTTCCCGAAAGATCAATTCACAAACAGGTGGTTAGGTGGACCAGGAGAATTTGGCTAAAATAACCAAGTGAAAAAGTAAAATTAAGAAAATAACTTTTTAATTTTAATTTTATTTATTTTTAGAGAACGACAACTGGGTTCTCAATGACAGTCTCCTTCACGGTCTCCTCGAGCCGAGACCCGAACGAGGAAGACATGGCTTGGACCGAGATGGGTCTGCATCTTCTCGAGCCATGGACGCCGAAGAAGCTTGTCGCGCTTGAACTGACGTTTCTTAGGCTGAAACCGTTGTTCAGAGGAATTGCGCAGACGGAAGACTTAACGATGGAAGAGAGAATGCGAGTAGAGCTCAGAGAGATTGAGATGAAATTGGATGAGACTACCATTGATGCAGACTCGGTTTCTTGGTGAGAGAGATTGTCATATTTTAAAAGAAAATCATTTTGCCAATTAAAACTTTTGGGTAGTCATTTTGCAAATAAAGAAACCTCTTTATGTCATTTTTGCAATCAGCTCGTGGACCAGGCATTTTTTAGTGATTTTGCTCGGTTATTACGTATTCCTACGCGTAAAAAGAAATTAACAATACCCAATAGCAAACTTTGGATTAGAATAAGTAATTAATTGAAAATGATACAAGTCAATATTTTACGTGGTCCATCAAGAGAAAGCCGGTCAATGTTAACTTTGGGCATTGTGATCTTTTGTCAATGTTAAGTAGGTATACCTTTTTTTCCGCCTCCCTTCCCCTAATTGTGATCTCTCTCTCTCTCTCTCTCTCTGACTTCAATGCGAAAAACTTTGAAAAAAAACTGTTGAAATTCGTTATTTTCTAAATGCCCTTTTCTTGCTTCTCACTCGCCGAAGCCCGAACCCAAGAAGACAGAAAGAAAGAAAGAATAGAGACCTTTTCTTTGAATCTACTGATATTGATAATATTATTTGAGGCATTAATATGTAAGAAATATTTATATAAAACATGTTCAGAAGAAGAACACAATGGCATGTACATGTAATTTGCACAATTCAGATGGATCGCTCATAGACAAGGTAAATTCGCACGCACTTTGTAATTGTATATATATTGTTTTACCAACTAGCAGTACTAAGACATGAGAAACTATTGAGCACTTCATGCGTGTATGCCTCCTAAACAACTAAAACCAAGATTCCGAACTCCGAAGTTATACAATTTCTGCTTCGCAGTAAAAATAAAAAAATTAAAAAAAAAATTAAAAAAAGCGAAAAACAATGACAAAAGAATGAGGTCAAGATTCCAATTTCACCAACATATATAGATGGGAGTACTAGTGGCCGGGGCCTTTTTTACTGGGTCCAGACGCCAATCTGAACGCCAAGCTTCTGGCTAAAGGACGACTAGTACTATTGCTAATGTCTGAGTTGTTTGAAGAAACCGCGAACGACGACATTCCTACCATCTGGTCATGACCTGATCCACCGGCTTGTTCGCAATCTCCGTTAGCACCGACGGTGTTCGTCGTCGATCGAAGCGCCCTGCAATCAGCTTGACTGAACTGTGATGACACGATCATGATTAGTATCAAACCGAGTGCAAACCAATTGCTGGTTCTCTTCATTGAGCTGCTTTTTGAGTTCTTCTTCATTGACATGATCTGGTCTCTCGCTAGCTGGCTGGTAATATTATTCTTTGGTTTTGTTTTGGTTTTGCTTTCGATTGCCTTGTATTTCTCTTTGTTAGGATAGGAATAATGCCAGGTCTACCACTTGATGCATGTATATATATACACACAAACACAGTTTGTATTTGGGGCGGTGTGGGATTGGAGGTTTGTCCGTGTGGGGTCTTACACGATTGTTTGACTTGGTTTATATCAATATATATATTTCTATATATGTGTGTGTGTGTGTGTGTGTAGTTTACTTGGGGAATAGGGAGTTGCTTTGAAATTGTTGGTGTGCTGCGAGAATTTGACTTTCTCTACAAGCGAGTACATATATATTACATACGGGATGAAGTCACCAACGAAAAGTGAGGGAAATAAAAGGCAAAAGCTTAGAAATTAGCTCATCCGTAGTCTCGGTATGTAAGCAAAATTTGCAAAATCTCAAGTATACACTTTTTTTTTTCATTGTCCTTTTTACATTGTCACAGACTTAGTCATTCTTGCTCCTTTTGATTTCACACGATCCGACACGTGCGCGGAGTGTGTTACATATCTGTCCACGCGGTGCCATTTTCATTATTCTTGTATTTTCTCTCTGAAATGCTAACCAATAAGAGGCCGACAATAAAGAAAGAAAGACCAATATAGAAATCGTATATGTGACACACTTGTACTTAATTTTGAACAAAAAGAACCAAATTGGTTTTTTCATGAATACTCATTGTTTGTTGAACAACATCCTTCTAAAGCAAAAGACGGTGACTTTTAGTGGGGGCCAAAAGATAAGGAGGAAAGTAACACAAAGGACTTGGGAAGATGTAGGTCCTAATGTAAACCAGAACTTTGAGCATCTCTTTTCTCTTTCTTTTTAGGGTGTGGGGTATCTATCTCTTTAGAGATTTCTCTAATAGGTCATGAAAATATAAACTATAGAAAAATATTTATTTTTAGCCATCAAAACTTAAATTGTTTGTTATAATTTTCTTTAATATTATAATATATTGACTAGATCTAACGATAAAAAACTAGGTGGTCTTATAAGAGAAAGTCCCCATCTCTTTTTTCTTATGAACGCATTTTATGGGTATAGCAAGCTAGGACACTGCCCTAGAAGCAGAAATCTCGCTTTTAGTTTAGACTTTGCATGAAGTTTTACCCGGGATCCTATATCTCTCTTAAGTCCTTTTCAAAATAATATTCAAATGAAAGATAAGGGCAAGTTTCAAAGCCGGGCAAGAGCTTTTTCAACAATTTCAACATTCCGTTTAGAAGAACATGCTCTGTCCAAGGTGGAATGATTAAAAATATACGGATACTTTCTAGCTCCCTTTGTCACATATAAGAAAGTATGAGAAGTTCTTGGTGATAAACTGTCCCTGATGTCTACATTTTGACATTAGTAAGGAAAGGACAGTTTTTATTTTCAACCAATGCCGCTTGGTGTCACCGGTTTTCCAGGATGCCGCATTTGAGCTCAAAAAAAGGGCCAAGCCATAGATTTTCAACGTCTTTAAAAAATTTATTTTGTTATATGCCAAGTACAAATCAAACTGTCGGTGTATGTTTATGGGGTTAAACATGGTATCAAAGAGTCATTAAAAAATGCGCGATTTTATAGTTCTTTTGTCTTAACTAACTCGCTTTTCAGAAATATATGAAAAATGGAACAACTGGTGCTATTTAATTCCATGATATTTATTCTAAAATAGTATACTTGGTTCATTTAATGAAATTTGGCAGGAAGAAACACCACTAATTTTTATGCCATAGATATGGTCAGAGTCACAGACATGAGACATCCTCTGAAATTTCGTGCTTTCTTGTTTGTCAATTCAACGCCAAGCAATTTTCACTAAAATGTTTCTATTATCAGTACAAAATCATGAAATAGAGAAAAATCACTATTTTCTCTTCTTTCTCGCTTCAAAAAATAAATGGAGTATTCAGTGACGAAATTAGAAATTTTTATGTGAGTTGACTAATAATTACAACAAGAATTTAAAAGGTATAAAATTGTAGTTTTAATTTTTTAGAGAGGCCTTTGTTCAATTTTTTAAAGATATATTTATGTAAATATAGGAGAAAAAAGGAATGAAAAAAAAAGTTGAGGTAGGGCTCAAGCCCCCCCAAGTTATAGCATAGCTATGTCGCTGGGAGTACTCACAACATTAGATTAAAATTAGGATAGAGATATTATTTCATTCACACTGACAATTGTTAAAGAATACATGGATGAAAAGTTCAATGTTGAATATTTCTTGAATTGACTAATTAATAGGCCAAATTGCGTACTTATTTTACGATGACTTATAACAGTGTAGTTAGGATCTAATACAATGCTATAAAGCAACTTATGACCAAATCAATACTCACCACCACTTAATTTAAATTATGTTTCAGCATTCTTCTACTACATAACATTTTTCATAAAAAATAAAAAAAAGGAATTAGAGGCTAATTGGACTTTAGACTGTCACTAAACTTTTTTCTCTTTTTTTTGTGACGTCTAAAGTTCATTTTTTTTAAAAGTAAATCAGAAAAATAAAAAACGAAAGGGAAATCATGATGGCTTATATAAAAGCTCAAATAATTTACATTTTGGGAGTTTCTCCCCTGCAACCAGAAAAATGAAATTATCAGTAATTTTATTTTTTTTAGCCGTTTTCAACCTTCAAATCAACGTCAGAAACCGTCTATTCTACATATTTCTTCAATTTCATTTGATTTTAATTATATCTAATGATTAAAAAACATATCATAACAGTCTACCAGAAACAATCTTTCTTTTCTTCAAAAAAAAAAGATAAAATAAATTTAAAAACTATCACTTGAACTGTTGACCTTATTGAATGAGCGTATTCATATCTTCAGATGGTCACCTTTTTCTTTCATCATCATCAATAATTAAGTACAAAATTCGAATTTTTAGTGGGAAAACGAAAACCAATTGGTTGGTGCATCTAATTAAAACAACTTGCATTAGTTTGGTGATTAAAACAACTAGCATTAGTTTAGAGATTGCATAAATCTGAATTTGGGCTTTTTGTGTTGATCTCAAGTCTCATTGATCATGATCTTCACTATATATATAAATATATAAATATATATATATATATATAAAGTCTTGTTTATGATCTTAATCAGCTTGATTTTGAGGCTCTCTAACTTGGATCAATGCAACGGTCTTCTTATATTCTCTCTGTGACGACTCTATTAAGTGGCTGTCACTGAAGCTAACATTAACATATACTTGCTATAATTTTTTAAAATTTACGAAACATTTTTTTAACCTATTATAGTAAACATAAATTTTGAATTTCTTTCTTAATTATGACAAAACATTTATACCTCAACATATTCATCTTTCAAAAAATAAATATATCTATATATATATATGTATGTATATAGTTGATCTTTAAGTTTTGCTTACTTACATATACTTAACAGTTATAACCTAATCATTTAACATGTAGTTTTAGAGTCATAATTAGCAAAACTATTTATCACATAAAATTTTTTGTAGAAATAATTGCGAGTGGTATCCATTCCCCAATCTCCACATTGTTCATCCGCTGTCTTGCCATCAGTCCATCAGGCATTAGGTGCAGGTTGCTTACCTACAGTATAAATATTCTATAGTGAACTTTCACTCAACAAGTAAGAACTATCTCTCGCAAAACAAGTGTAAGTTCACATGAATAAATATGAATGAGACAATTATGCTTAATTATGATCATGTCTTATTAAAGTCTTATTATCTGATCTTATCTTGCTTACTGATGAGCCTGAGTGCTCATACCATTTGCGCGCAATCATCAGGACGTGAGGGTTTGCAAGGTCCCCAACGACACCGTGATTTAATTTACTATATTCTTTTTTATTTTTCTATCTCCCTTGCAGAGTCTTAATTACCTCCCTCTTAGAGGCTGGTACGACACTCAACTGAGATTATTCTTATAAGTTTCACTTGACTTATTAAAGTGTATGCAACATGGCATGACATTGCATACTATAACATAAAGCATAAACATGCATATATATCATGTATACATTTTATTTAAAATATATTCATATTGTAGGCGTGATTCCTACTTACCTGTTTTACAGAGCTGAAATTCACTATTCGCCAAACAGTCTATTCTCTTACTTGCTTATTTATGAAAATGAACACTCATTGAGAGTGTGAGATTAACTGTCGTTTGCTATTCTAATTTAACAAACCTATAAAGGAATCTAATCCTTCACTTAAGGCATGTTTTCCTTTTCTTTATTAAAGGATTGTAAAATCTCGTATTCAGTATAAGGATTAAATTTATTAAATCCTCATAATCCTATTTTTCCTAATTGCCCTTAACATACATATGCCTAGGTTGAAAATCAATTTCTAATTAATCAATTATCCAATCGAGCAACTAATCCTCCATAAATTACCTTATTGGGTTTGTTCTATTATTAAGGTCCAATTTGACCTAGAGACTTAATAAAGACGTTCTAATTCTAGACCGTAGAAATTTAGACTTGAGCAGATGTTTTTGAACTAATACAAGCGTTAGACCCGTATCTAACTTTGTAATTCTAAGGGCCTAACATATTGGGCTCGTAAGTTCTCGTTTGTATGTTTTGCTCGAAAACTATTAAGGTTTTAAAAGAAACCATTGTTCGATTTTCATAAAACCGATTGCTCATTTATTTAGTTACAAGTACTAAATTCTCATTATCAGTCCTAAATAAATTTTCTGTCGAATACCGACTTTTGAAACTATTTCACAAGTCATTTTACGATTAGTTTATAAAGCACCGTGAAACTATGTCTTAGAAACGGTTTTCTCGAAAACTTTCTTCATGAATATTTTCCATTAAAGCGAGGTCTAAAATCATAGTATTTTACTGAAATTACATCTCGTGTTTTTTGATGAACTTTTCTGTTAAGAACTAAAACTATTTTAGGTTTGTCCAGTTAAAACTATGCAGTTTAAGAAATTTGTGTTTTACTACATCTTAGAGTAAGATTTTGAAAATTTTTTCTTTATGAGAATTTTTCGTCTCGTCAAGATCTAAAATTTACGA